GGCCTCCCCCCGGCAGCCCCGCAAACTACACTTGAGGAAGGCAGTGCTCCATGCCCTCGAACACACGTTCGAGGCCATGGAGCACTGCCTTCCTTTATTGTCATGGGCTCAGCGAACCGCGCGTTATCTGACTACTCACGATTCGTTTCCTCTTTTTTTTTGCGCTGTACAGGTGTAATGAAAAGAGGAAATCTCTTGTGGTGAGATTCGACGCGGGTGACCGCTTCGGCGAGCTGCCGGAGCGAGCTGGCCTACTGCGAGGTTGCGCTGCGAGGTTGCGCTGCGAGGTTGCGCTGCGAGGTTGCGCTGCGAGGTTGCGTTGCGTTGCTCAGTTTCGTGCGGCTTGGGTCGGCGCCATTGGCGCCGTGCTTATGTGACCGCACGATTCAAAAAAGGCGTCTCCCTGGATACATCACGAGGTGTGTGCAAAATTCGGGGTGTACTGCCACGCCATGAAGCCCCCTGTATCACTCGGCGAGGTGCGGAGCTCGATCTGGACCTTCATGGCGGCGACCTTCCCTGACGCTGTCTTGAATGACAGGTAGTCTGAAGGGACCTAAAACCGCTTGTGCCATTGTGTTCAAGCAAAAAATCTCGTCCGAAAGGATGAGTAACCTAGTCGGAAACGACGATGGTTGGCTGGTTACAGCCAAAGGCCTCGAATCAATAGGCCTTATTGGGTATTGAGGTTTGTTTTGCTGTGAAGCAAAATTAGGGCTCTAACCGAGTCCTATGGGTGTCGCCGAGGTGGGGACTTACCCCAGTCAGGTCACGGTTGCAATGCTAGCACGTGTCTACGGCTGTGCGCTTTGCATTCTGGGTTCGACTCCCGGCTGACTCGTTCCCACCAACGCCATGCTTTGGAAAGATTGAAGCCTGGAAATATATAACACATGGAAGCCCGAGATGCCTCGAATTAAAGACATGGAAGCCCTAGATGCCATGGAAAGAATGAAGACATGGAAGTCCAAGATATTAGTTGGTTTACGTTCCCGTGACGGCATCACTGTGTCTCTTTTTTTTGCTATCGTTTGTACTGTTTCGCTAACTGCTGAGTTTCTTCTTGTTCTTTTTGCTATCGTTTTCGACAGGAGTTGTATCACTGCGGTCTGAACAAGCTCGAAGTCTCGTACGTGTATTGCATAAGCGATAATTCCCCAAAGTGCGTTGTAGTTAATTGTTGGGATATTTAATAAAGAGTGGAGATACCGATCCACTGCGAGTCCTTGTGAACGAGTGACACTGCGACTGCAAACGAATTTTCTAGTCTAAACGTAATCAATGGGCGACTCTGAAAGACATATGCACATTTTGTGTATGCCCAAATACATCCATTTTGATTGAGAGTAGGAGGGTTTTGTGCCTACACAAACAGCCTACACAAACAGCCAGTTTGCTCGTCGCACGGCTGCCGATGTAATTGTATGTGCACAAGCACAATCGCACAATCGTACCTACTTCATCAACTGTGATCAGTGCGCAGGCGTTCTGAGACCCATACTGAGGGTGCATTTGCATTGCATGATTGTGCCTGTCTCAGACAGTTTTATGTCATATGCATTTCGGTGCCAGCTCACAAAACACGGACACACATATACTCTCTACTACGCAAGGGAATCGAATATATACTTTTTATGATTTTCGGAGTCGCTGAATGTCACAACAATGGCTGTGGTTCATGTTAGCTGCTTTGCAATGTCACTTGCAGAAGGTCCGAGGTGTTTGCGGAGCCGAGTGTTGCGGAGCCGAGTGTCGTGCGCGCATCATGGATATTTGGCCCCGTTTCAAGCTAACTCGTGCATGAGTTTCGTCCAAATTCTATAGCCCCCTCTATATTCTTCTCACGAAAGCCAAGAACATAGATTACGTTCAAACCCTTGAATGTTGGTTTATTTGCACATGTCGTGAAATAAAAACAGAAGGAATGCAAGAACGTGCCCAGCACCGGATAGAATCAAGGGTACAAGGAAGCGGTTTCTGTGGACGTTTGTCTGGAGGAATCCGTTCACAATAGTTTTAGTTTGCAAACTTTATACCGGTTTCTGCTGGAGTTGTTGATGCTGGAGCTAGGCCAGTTGTTGCCATGGATGTCGAGCAAACGGAAGAAACAGAGGCCATAGAACGACTCTCTTACCTGCGTGTTACTGTACAAAGAAATGAGCCTCAACAGATTCGGTGTTTATCCGGTACAGTACATTTCAATATACTGTAGAAGTTCATCTGCCAGGTGTACATGTGGACACGTGTCTCTTGGTGAACGTCATTTGGCCCGTCGCGCGGGAGCCGAAACCTTTGCCGCCTGCTACACCCCAGCAACGCTGTTGACATCACCTCTCCCAAGGCCCAAATTATTCACATTCCGCCCCGCAACTCGCCACCCCCCCCCCCTCTTCCCTCGTACGACCCCCCTCCTCCAGCCAGACACCTCGCCGCCCCGACTCGATTCCACTTCAGCCTCATTCGTACCCCCTCCCCGCCCGCTTCCGGACCGCTCGCCGCGTCCCGCCCCACCTCCTCATCCGCCTCGCGTGTGCCGCAAACTCGGCGCCGCGCAACCCCGCCGAATCGGCCACTCTTTCCACGCGTCATGTCCGCGTCCGACGAGACGGCCCCCGCTACCGGGACGCCGGCCGCCGCTCCCCCGACCGCCGCGCCCGTCCCGGCCGCGGCCCCGCCCGCCGCTGCAACCCCCACGCCCCAGCTTTCGCGCGGCGATCTCGATCGCTATATGAGCCAGCTGCTGTCCGAGAATTGTAAGCCCCTCTCCGAGGACGAAGTGAAGGGCTTGTGTGAGAAGGCGAGAGAAATCTTGATGAAGGAGAGCAACGTGCAGGCCGTGAATTGCCCGGTCACTGTCAGCGGCGATATTCATGGGCAATATCATGATCTTCTCGAGTTGTGTACGTTTTCCGTTTTGAGCGGGTTAGAGATTTCGTGCTTGCCCACGACGTACTGCACGTCAGATTATTCTAACATGTGTGGTTGTGTGTTATTTGTTTGCTTGTTTGCTTGTTTGCTTGTTTTCGTTGCGTGCCTGTGATTGTAGTCCGTATTGGAGGAACTTGTCCGGATACCAACTACTTATTTATGGGGGATTACGTGGATCGTGGATACTATTCAGTGGAAACTGTGACGGCACTTGTGTGCCTCAAAGTGCGGTATCCAAACCGGGTGACGATCCTGCGCGGCAACCACGAGAGCCGTCAAATCACGCAGGTGTACGGTTTCTACGATGAGTGCCTCCGAAAGTACGGGAATGCTAACGTGTGGAAGTTCTTTACGGACATGTTTGACTACTTGCCTTTGACGGCACTTGTGGAAGTGAGCATTTTCTGCTTGCACGGAGGCCTTTCGCCAAGTATCGACACGCTGGAACAGATCCGCAACCTGGACCGTGTGCAGGAAGTGCCGCACGAGGGCCCGATGTGTGACTTGTTATGGTCTGATCCGGACGATCGATGCGGATGGGGTATTTCGCCTAGGGGGGCGGGGTACACTTTTGGGCAGGACATTTCGGATCAGTTCAACCACACTAACGCAATCACGTTAATTGCTAGGGCTCATCAATTGGTGATGGAAGGGTACAATTGGTGCCATGAAAGGAATGTGGTGACCATTTTCTCAGCGCCCAACTACTGTTATCGCTGCGGGAACCAGGCGGCTATCATGGAACTTGACGGTGAGTTATTATTGCGGAAATTCTTTACACTGTCGCGACGGTTCGGTTTTGGAGTTTGCTAACGATTGTTTTGTTTTTGTCTGCATTTTGGAAATACGAAACACACAGAGAACAAGAACTACACGTTTTTGCAATTTGACCCAGCGCCACGACGCGGGGAAGATCATGTTTCTCGACGCAGCCCTGACTATTTCCTTTAGATGTTTGTGGAATGGATTTTACAGAATATTCAAGTCTTGGATGTTTGGTGGTTTTTTTGGGGCAAGGAATGGGACGGCTGTTAGGTGTTGCTTCCATTGAGAGGGATGTCACTGTACAGCCCGGTGGGAGACATTTGGAGGGTAGAGCGAGGGGATTTGTAAGCAGAAGGTTAGAAAGTGTAAATGCCAGAGACCACAGGTGTACATGTGGGGAAGGCAATGGCATAGGAATCGGTGATGGGAATTTGCGTGCGATGTTGTTTTTGCGGATGAGGCTACATTTTAAACGCTGGTTACTACGCTACAATAACGAGGTTAGCGGGGCACGGCAGCGGTGCAAGGAAGAGGAGTGGCTTTGTTAAAAAAGGGAACATCATTCTCGGTTGTCCCTGGAGAAATTTTGGCGCGACTGCGTGAGAGGGCACGGTTCGCCGCAACGTGTCTGCCAGCACACGCGCAGTCCCGCTCTCCGCCATCACTGCTGCGTCGCCCACATCGCGATCCGCTGTGCCGATCGCGATGGAACGGCCGTCGTTCCTCCATAACGTCACCCACCGACACGTGTACAATCGTACCCTTCCTGCTGCCGCCCCCGCGACATTATTCGCGTCAACATCCATCGCCGACATACCTCTCACATTACCTCTCAATTCGATCCACAGCCCCGCATCATTCACCTTCAAACACATTGCTTACGCTCCAACCCCCTCCCTCACTTCTCCCCCACCCCCTCCCTCTCTCTCACCTCCTCCTCTCAATCCGCTTGCCCTCACCCCAACCATGTCCAAAACCGTCCGCCGTCTCGCGGCAACGGGCGGCGTCCTGGGCGGCGTCTTCCTGGGCATCACGGCATACACGGCGCCCGCGCGCCCGTCGGCGGCGGATCGCGCGGCGCTCGCGCACGGCGGGCTCGAGGCCGCGCCCGCGCGCGCGGTGCAGCTGGCCAAGCTGAAAGCCGCGTCGACGCCGGCCACGCAGCTGGACGTGTTCATCGTGGGCGGCGGCGCGACCGGCGCCGCGTCCGCGCTGGACGCCACGCTGCGCGACCTCACCGTCGGCCTGGTCGAGCGTGACGACTTCGCGTCCGGCACAAGCTCGCGCTCGACTAAGCTCATCCACGGCGGCGTCAGGTACCTGGAGAAGGCCTTCTTCCAGCTCGACCCCGGCCAGCTCAAGCTGGTCTTCGAGGCCCTCAGGGAGAGGGCCATCATGCTCAAGCAGGCCCCGCATTTGACGCAGCCGTTGCCGACCTTGCTGCCGTGCTATAAGTTGTGGGAGGTCCCGTTTTATTGGGTCGGGTTGAAGGCGTATGACTTGATCGCCGCTGCAGGGAATGGGTTGCTGTATATGAGCAAGTTTGTTAGCGCGAATGAGGCTATGCGGCAGTTCCCGACGCTTTCGAAGAGCTCCGGGGGGCAGAAATTGAGAGGGAGTATCATGTATTATGATGGGCAGATGGATGATGCGAGGTTTAATGTGTCGGTCGCTGTGACGGCCGCGATGTACGGCGCGGCTGTAGCCAACCATACCGAGGTGGTGGACTTGATCAAGGCGGAGGGCAAGGTGGTGGGTGTCAAGTGTCGGGACGTGTGTAATGGCGAAGAGTTTGACGTGTATGCCAAGGTGGTGATCAATGCCACGGGGCCGTTCACTGACGGTGTAAGAAGGATGGAGGATGACAAGGTCAACCCGATGATCGTGCCGTCCGCGGGCGTGCACATTACGCTGCCGGACTACTACTCGCCGGAGGGCATGGGGCTGATCGTGCCCAAGACAAAGGACGGACGCGTAGTGTTTATGCTGCCGTGGCTGGGGAGGACGATCGCGGGGACGACGGACAGTAACACGGAGATCACGGCGTTTCCCAAACCTCACACGGACGAGGTAGCGTTTATTCTGGACGCTTTGTCCGACTACCTGCGGATCGAGGTGCGGGCGTCGGACGTGCAGAGCGCGTGGTCGGGGATCCGGCCACTGGCCGTGAACCCGGACGCGGAGGCGGGGAACACGCAGAACATCCTGCGGGAGCACGCGGTACACGTGTCACCGGAGAAGGTGGTAACGATCACGGGTGGCAAGTGGACGACGCAGCGGGCGATGGGCGAGGCGGCTGTGGACAAGGCGATCGAGGTGGGCGGGCTGCAAGAGAAGGCGACGCGGTGCAAGACGCCGTTCGTGCAGCTGGTCGGCGGGCACAAGTGGGACGAGTCGTACTTCACGTTCCTGACGCAGCGGTACGAGATGGGGTCCAAGGGAGAGACGGCGCGCACGGCCGTGGCGCGGCCGCAGCTGGACGTGGAGTGCGCCAAGCACCTCGCGCGGGCGTACGGGGACCAGGCGTACAAGGTGGCCGAGCTCGCCGAGAAGGGGCTCGGCACGCGGCTCGTGGCCGGGTACCCGTTCATCGAGGCCGAGATCGTGTACTGCATCGAGCACGAGTACTGCGTGACGGCGATGGACTTCCTCGCGCGCAGGTCGCGGCTGGTGTTCCTCGACACCAAGGGCGCGCTCGCCGCGCTGCCGCACGTCGTCGACGTGATGGCCAAGGAGCTCGGGTGGGGCAAAGCGCGCGTCAAGAAGGAGCTCGCCGACGGCAAGCAAATGATCGACAGCTTCTCGTGCGGCATTCCCGGGCAGAAGTAGCGGCGGGGGGCGCGGGACCAGGCGCGGGACCATGCGCATGCGCACGAACGAGGGCGGGGCTTCGGGGACGGTGGAGAGAAGGGAGTTTTTTGTGTCGCGCTTTCGCGCGGCGGACAAGTAAAGATGCTCACAGTTTTGTTGTAGTAGAGAGGACCGCAGCTGGGGTGTCCGCGGGAGATGCCCTGCCCCCGCGCGGCGGCGGAATAAAGATGCTCACAGTTTTGTTGTAGACGGTAGGCAGGGTCGCAGCCGGCGGGAGACGCCCTGGCCACTCGAGCGTGGGACTTTGGTTTTGCGTTTGCGAGAGGGACGGCGTTTCCATACAGGAGGAGCAAGCCCTTTTGTAAGGGGATTGCTCCTCGCAAGAAGGCCCGCGGCTTCGCGACGCTATACATATGCGGGAATGCCGGGAAGCTGGTAGACAACATTGGAAAAAATTAGCAAAAAAAAGGGCCGCCACGTGTACAGCCTGTGAAGTACATGTTACGAAATAAATAGCTGTGCATGACCCGAGGTGCACGTAGCCGACTTAGCTCAGTTGGGAGAGCGCAAGACTGAAGTTCTTGAGGTCCCCAGTTCGATCCTGGGGGTCGGCATGTCATTTTGTTGCACGTCTTTTTGTTTTGAGATAATGTTGCGTTCAGGGGGGCGATCAGGTGGGTATTGGTGGACGCAAAATCTCCCTTTTGTTTTTGCGCGGGGCGCGGCCTGCAGCCGCGGTGCGCGAGCAGCGGACGGAAGGGGCGTGGTTCGGGCCACGGGCGGGGGCGGCGGACGGCGGGCGGCTGATACCGGAGGGCGGCCAACCGGTGGCGGGCAATTTTGAAAGGACGCGAACGAGGCGCGTCGATTGGGCGCCGCACATTGGAGCGGGGGCGCGCGACGTGAATATTCCCCCCCCCGCTCCGCCAAAGATTCGGCCCTGTTGCCGCGCGCGCGGCCGCGCAGGTGAACGCCTGAGAAAAAATTATTGGAAATGCTTTTACTCCCGTTCAACCAATCCATTCATGCCAAATGTCCGCGTGCTCGAGTGCTGGCACCG